TCTCTCTCTCTCTCTCTCTCTTTTTTTTTCTCTCTCTCTCTCCACCGCCCACAGACAAAATTGTACGCTTTTAGGCTAACAACAGTAGTAATGGAACATTTGTTCACGGCACAGAATTCTAAAAAATTTCTGTTATCACAGTGTAGAATTCTGCAGTTCAGGGTAAACGCAAAATTGGATGGCCTAGATCTAGGAACGGTGAACGCACACCGGATGAGAATTCTAGCCAAAAGACTCGCCTGCGCTATTCTCACCAAAATTGTGATGAACAGATCTACCGGTCCGAGATTCTCCATTGAGAGATAATTAAAAACTGGGAAAATCATGAATTCCTAAGGTTCAGACAGGCAAAGTCAGTCCGCTGGTCCGGTATTCCTCAATCTTACCGATACCCACATGGAACGACATGTTTTCGGTAACATTTCGGATTTCCTAGATCTAGAGTCTAGATCTAGATATCTAGACTCTAGTAGACCAAAGCAGTAGCATGTGGTATTCTGACACAGTAGCGTGTGGTATTCTGACACAGTAGCCTGTGGTACTCTGACTTTATAATTTTTGGTCCGAAAAGTACAATACTATCACTAAGCTAAGGCTGTCGCATCATCAAACATGGGTCCTTTGTGCCTAAGTTAGGACTGAGGCAACTGCTTTGCTAGGTGTGATAGTGGTTGTTGTAACAAGTCTGATGTAATACATTGTTATTGCGCAAAACAAATTAAAATGACACTGTGGTGGATGTCTGTGGCTGGTACCAGTGTATCCAGTGCATCGCCAAATTGTGTGTGTGTGTGTGGTATGCGTGTGTGTGTCTGTCTGTATGTATGTCTGTTTGTTTGTCTGTCTGTCCTGATCCTGGGGGAGGAACTGATTGAACTGTCTATAATGACAATCATTATGTACATAATTGCCATTGGCTTTTTCTTTTTAACTCCTGATGAAAGATTTCTGGTAAAAAATTTTCCTTGCACTTTTGCATGCACTGCTTTTGAGGGCTAAACCACCGTATTTTTGGCTGCAGAACACACAGATGGTCATTAAGATAGTCGCAAATCAACTGACAAAATTTCAAACCTAACCTAATTGCAAAACATTAAATTATGGGGAAATACAGTAATACAGGGAGGGCATGCCCCCTGATGCCCTGGCCTCCAGATTCTTTAAAGTCAGGGGAGCATGCACCCGTGGAAGACCCCCTAGGGCGGTGCTACTGACTGAAGTGTCTTTAGGCCATCCGGGGGGGGGGGGGGGAGGACATTAACATCTTAAGTTCTTATACACAGTAGAATTGTAATTGTAAATGGGCTGATTCATCAATGTCATGCTCATAACTGTGTCTGAACTGCAACAGGGAACAGCTGCTTTTTCTTTCCTAATCCTTACTATAGTCATTTTTCTTCTACTTCTATTGTATGTTTGTCACACTCTTGTGACCTGCTATTTCCAGGTTGTCTTGATAGTCGAAGCAGACTTTGTGCTGTTGAAGCTAGAGAGGTGAGCAGAATAAGTCTGGTTCCTTGTAAGGACTTCTCTGTTGACATCCACCCCTTGGCGCTCATATATGACCTTATGCATTTGCGAGCATGTAAAACCTCTACTAAAACAAAGCACTCCTGAAACTCCCCAGATTTTTAAAAACATATGAAATAATACTGATCAGTTTGAGTAATGTTGTTTGAATAAAAACATAAAGGATAAAAGGATAATAAGGGTTGAATATAATAAATTAATGAACAGGAAAAGTGCAATGCAGTATGGGAGTGAAAGTACAGTAATACCAGTTTTGTTCTGTGACATACAGGTGAAAAAAATATAATTATCCTTATTTATTGTGTAGATATAGAATCTGTTGAGATTTGTTTCTGAGAACTGCATGTGATGCTTAGTTCTACAGATGATATTGCATGCTTCTACAAGGTTTGTATGCTGCTATGCAGTTCACTGGTTTTGAGTGCTCATGATAAGTAGTGCACATAAACTTTTCAGAAAATGTAATTCAGATTAAAGGCTATCACAATTATGATAAGTTAATGATATATTGAAATCCCGAGTATGTCAACAAATCGGCCCTTTAAGCTTGTTTCATTTTATTGTTTGCTTGTGATGATGGTGAATGTATTTTTGTGGCTCGTCTACAAAGACCATCTTTTGCCTTCAAAGATCATCTTATCATTTATGCCTTCAGTTTTCTTATTGACTTTACTGAAATATCTAAAAATATTATATAAAGAGTGAAAATTGTGCAGTTGCTGATTTGCTGTCTCTGAAATTGCAATCTTACTGAAGGGAGAAGATGAATGTTTTCTTGTCTGTTCATTCAATTTTATCTTTTAATTGTAGGGCACGATCCCGATCCCCGGTACGCAGGTCAAGATCCAGATCAAGGTCTCCTCGAAGAAACAGAAATGATCGTCCTCCTAGACCATTCATGGGGGGCAGAAGAGTGGTCGTACGCAATATTCCTTATGAGCTTAGATGGCAAGAGCTGAAGGACATGTTCAGAAAAGAAAGTAAGTCTCTAAGAAAATTGGGTCAGAAAATAATATGGGCCCATTCTTATTTTCCTCATAAATTTGGATCGTTTACATTGTTAAGTGGCAACTTCAGTAATTTTTTCCAAAGCTTGCATGAAGCAATGCAGTTATAGAGATATATGTCTTGGTTGAACTTATTTCTTCCCCGTGGACTTTTATTAGTTACTGTCATAGAAGTAATATAAATTGTGTATTCATCACATTCCTGGTTCTTGTTAGCACATTTCATCACTGTTCTGAAAATGAAAGAGATATACTGTAGACGGTATGATTGTAATATTTTTTTTAAGGGTAAAAAGTGATTAAAGTTACTGTCAACTAAATCTTCACTGGCCAGCCTAGCATAATGCAAACCGTCAAGTCTTATGGGCATGTGTGTCGAGTGCAGGTTAGAGAGAAGCATCGCTAGTGTACTGTTTGCCTACATTTATCACACACACCATCAATGGGCCTACACCTTGTGTATAGGCCAAGTGGCGCAAAGATAGTGAATGCATGCTTCCATTGGCAATAGCATAGCCTATTGTATCTGCAAAGTTAGTTCACATAGGCCCTACACATGAGAACACATGAGAGAACACATTAGGGCTTGTGGTGTGTTTATGACGTCACTGGTTTTAGGCTTTCTCACTTACCCAGACTAGCACAGAGCACAGTCCAGTTTGCTGGTCTCGTCTTTCCTCTTCTGTATGACTGTTTGGCAGATTAAGCATGCAGACAGTGTCGAGGAGCATAATACTTTCAGCCTACAGCTCAAATTGCAGTCAAAAGAGGGGGGGAGGGGTTTAAGTGGAATTTGCCAGAAGCATGGCATTACCTACACTACTTTGTCAACAATCATCTCTATTTGAGCATCCCTCTATACCTAAAAAATAGCTAAACTGAAGAAAATCTGGCAATCCTTCAGTTTCCGCTTTAAGCGGACTCCACTGTTATTGTATTATTCATATTACTTATATTAGAAATATTTTTCTCTCTTCAGTTGGAGATGTCACCTATGTGGAAATGCTAGAGACACCACAAGGAAAGTCAAAAGGAGTTGCGTAAGTAACATTGCTACTCAAAATTTAATTTTAAACTCACTTTGTCTAAACAAGTCCTGTAATAAGTAAAATTACCCTGCTTTTAGTAGCGGAGTGAACAGGGAAGGATGTAAAATCAAATGTTTACGCTAACGCATGTTTGTTTGTATCATATTTAAAAAAATAATTTTTAGGTAATTGTTCATTGCAACCAGTTCCATATATGGACTTTTTGCCTTTACAGGAGACAACCTCAGTTCTCAGTTTTCCCTGACCCGTTGTTTGCATTATTTTCAGGATTGCAAGGCCAGAAATATTCACAATAGCTTGAAGAACAAATGGGGTAGAATATTATGCAAATCATTTTGACTTGAAGATGCCTAAGAGCAATTTACACATGAAATGGAACTTGTTTAGTTTTACTCTTAATTACAGTTTTGAAAGAGGTGCTGATTGTATAACTGTCTGCTGGGAGGGTTTTCATGTGGAATTGACTTTGTCTTGTGTTGTGTGTTTAGGTGAGATTTTGAAAAGTTAATTTCTATGGATATCTTGAATAACAGAATCATATCTGAACTATGGCATGCTAGTTTAGTCTCTTCTGCTCTGATTGATGCCCACTTTGATCTTGTTTTGGAGAAAATGATTTCAAAAGTTTCTTAGTGGTGTCTTTCATGCACAAAAAGCTTTGTTGTTTTTATTGTTATTGATGAAGAAGCTGATTAGCCTTTTCTTCTGCTTGATGCCATGCTGGAGAAGAAGGTACACTTCTGATTGAATTGTATTGCTATTCTTTATTGTATGTGTATGGATTGGGAAAGATTCAGTTATTTTTTTAAATTATTTTTTTTTTGCTTCACAGAGTCGTCGAATTTCGTGACCCAGAGCATGCCAAGCGAGCTATTGATGAATTCCATCAGAAAAAGTTGAATGACAGAGCCATCATAGTTCGAGAGGTATGTGTTAGATCGTATCAAATTGGTTTGTTTTTGTGTATGCTGATTCTGTCTCATTTAGTGCGCAAGTGAATTTTGATACAGGGCACTACTATCGTGTTTAGTGGCTGTTTTTATGCTTTGTGTTGAACATTTTTTCTTGACTTACCCATATAATGGTTTTTATTGTGTCCCACGAAAGAATAGGGCTTGTTTTGAAATTAACACCATTTCCATTTAATTGTGTTACCTGGTCTTCCTTTATGCGTTTAAAATAAAAAGAGAATTATAGTCATCAAAATTCCATTGTCATGGAAATATTTTCACAGGAACGGGAAAAAGATCGCCAAGAGTTCATGCAAAATCAAAACATGAGATTCCGAGATGCGGGTGGTCCAGCGATGGGACCTGGACCAGGCATGGGAAACATGGGCAGCGGAGCCATGGGACCTGGACCTGGTGCTGGGCTTGGGGGCGTTAACCCTCAGATACTCCAGCAACTGGGTATCGAGCCACCCATCACCAACACAGTATTTGTGGCAAATGTAGGTTGTTTTCTTGTTTCAATCTTTTAAATGTTTATTTCCTCGTGATATTTATGGGGTGTTTTTTGAGATAGAGTGTTACTGTCTCAGTATTGATTGTTATCTTGTTGTTGATGAGGAGAGAGCTATCTTCAGTCGTCTATGTTTAAAGTGGTTTTGAGCTGAAAATAAAATGACTGATTATAACAAATGTCAACAAAATGTAAATGAAGTTTGTTAATGGAGCAGTAATGTTTTTCTGTTTTTTGTGTGTTGTTTAACTTGATGGTTGGAGACTGATAGGCCTTACATGTTTACTGTTTCTTCTTTTTTTATCTGTCTTTGTAGTCTCTTTTTTGCTTCTGATGCAAATTGTTTTGTCATCTTAGTTTTCTTTACTATAGTTAAACTAATTTGTTGCTTGAAAATTTTCTCTGCTTTATATGACTTTCCCGTTATTGATCATGCTGCTTTATGACAATTTTGTACTGATATTTGTTTGTAATCTCATCACATGCGTATCATTGTATCTGTACAGTTGGATTACAAGGTCACGTGGTGGAAGCTGAAGGATGTCTTTAAGCTTGCTGGTAATGTTATTAAAGCTGAAATAAAAGAAGACAAAAGTGGCAAATCTCGAGGAATGGGAGTGGTTACCTTTGATCATCCCATGGAAGCAGTTCAAGCAGTGTGTATCCTTTGTTTGTGCTTCATAACTATGAAAGATAAGAGTTGAAAGTAATGTTCATATTGTTGTTTAGTCAAGTTTTATTTAGGTGATGCCTCAGTTCTATTCATTGCACAAACTAATGTCAGCTTCTTGGCTTGATGGTGACTGCTGGTCAATATGTCTACTTCCTTTCTTGAAGCAAAGATCAAAATAGTGTGCTGTTTTTATTGGAATGTAGAGCAATGACAGTGAAAATAAAATAGAAGAAACAGAAATGTGGTTCCTTAGGAGACTGCTCAGAGTATCGTGGAAGGAAAAGAAATCAAATGAGGTAGTTCTTGATGAAGCCCACGTGGGATGCTCAATTTAAAAAACAATCAAGAAAAAACAAATGCAGTTTTTGGGACACCTGAATAGACATAAGGGTCTTGAACATCTAGCTCTGACTGGCAAAATTGAGGGCAAGCGAGGCAGGGGTAGGCCCAGAACAACATACTTAGCGAATGGGTAACAGGGAAAGATCAGGGAAACGTAGCTTTTTTTAGAGCATCCGAGCAAAGGAATGAATGTAAAACCATGATCACCGATGTCTGTCGCAGATCTGGCACTGGATGATGATGAGAGCAATGATGGTCTTCTTCTCTTCTTCTTCTTCTCGATCGCATCACACTTGAAGTCTGGTATCTGTCATAAATTGGGCCGTCCTGCTCAGTTCATCTGGCGGCCCGTATAGCTTCTCTTGTAGCGTCAGTGGGGTTGGCCACGTTTCCTGTCTCAGGGCCCTGTGTGTTTTGCAGTGCTGAAGGATGTGTTCAACAGTTTGGTCCGCCTCTCCACACTGGCATTTTGGTGATTGTACTAGTTTAAAACATTTGTACATATGTTGTCTCAGTCCTGTGTGTTGTGTCCTTAGTCTGAAGATAATCACTTGTTCTTGGCGGGACAGCTCATGGTAGTTATCTGGTGTCTGAGGTGCTTTAAATAGTGTATTTATAATAGTTTTTATTTCTGTGTAGTTAACGCTGTTGTCTGGTTGCTCTTTTTGTGCTCCTAGTTTGGCCATCCTGTCTGCCTGCTCATTTCCCAAGACACCACAGTGTGATGGAATCCACTGCAGCATGATGCTCAGACATGGGATGTCCTCAATTTCTTTTCATAGCCTTGGTAGTTTGCCGGAAGTGATTGCCTGCAGTACTGACATGGCATCTGTTAGGAATACGACTTGGCTTTGGGGGTCTACCACATTCTTGATAATGTTTGCTGCATGTACTAGAGCCTCCGTCTCTGCCCTGTAGTTTGTACAATGTCGCCCTGTTGGGACTGCCTCTGCTTGTCGTCGTCCATTTGGGAACTGTACGTACACTCCGGCTCCTCCTCTTTTCACAGCATCAGTGGCAGATCCGTCTGTATAGATCCATATCCATGCTTCTCGTGGGTATCTTTCTTCAAGCATGGACAGGGTGAGGGACTTCTTGCTCAGGTCGCTGTGGTCATCTTTTGTGGTGAACATAGGAATGGACGTGCGTATAGATATGTTTGTGTTTGTCTTTTCCCATGATGGTGCCTCTGGGGTGTGGTTCAGCCTGTTCTCTGTGGCTGGTAGATGGCCCTGTAGGGATCTTTGGATTTTTCTGCTTTCTTTGATGAAGTTGGATCTTTTGAGTCTTGCGCTGTTTGGTCTCGCTGTTCTTGTGTGCAGTATACGATCCTTCATAGCTGTGGCCTTGGTGTACTGTATGAGGGCCTTGCATTCCCATCTCCTCTGCAGGGCCACTATAGATGTTGTTTGTTCCATCTTTTCTATAGGCGTTGACCTCATTGCTCCAGTGATTATTTGGAGAGCCTGGTTTTGCACTTTTTCCAGAATGTATTTGTGAGTCTGTGCTGCAGTCATCCATGCACTGGATCCGTACTCGAGATGGGGCCTGATTGCGCCCAGATAGACCTGTCTAAGTGTTTTCTCGTTTGCTCCCCACTGAGTCCCTGCTAGTTTTCTCATGATGTTAAGTTTCTTCCTGGCTTTATTTTCTGCATTCTGAATGTGTTGTTTCCATGTGAGACGCTTGTCAAAGATTATTCCAAGATACTTCTGTTGATTCTCAAACTTTAGGGGGGTTTTGTCTAATGTGAGGTGTTTTGGCTGATCCTGGCTGAGAGTGAAGAGTGTAGCAGAAGACTTTCCTTTGTTTACGGTTACACACCAGGCTTTTGTCCATGTAGTGAGTTTGTCCAATGCTAGTTGCATGCGATATGTGGCTGTAGTGACGAATTCCTCAAAGCACCAAAGAACCAGGTCGTCTGCATACAATGCGGCATGTATTCCTTTGGGCAGTTCATTCATGAGGTCATTGATGAAGAGGATAAAGAGCAAAGGTGACATGACTCCACCTTGGGGTACTCCTTGTCGCAGCAGCATTTTCCGTCCTTGATATCCATAGCAATGATGATGATAAGCGATGCTAAAAATGTAGCCTCCTTCAGCATCGTTTATGAATTGGTATCAGATACCAGACTTCATATGTGGAGGAGATTTGTTAGTAGTTCTTGTTGAATGATAATGTTGTTCAGTGCAAGTTGTCTTCTAAAGGCCCCTTTACATGTGCTGTTCATTCATCAAAAAATGAAAGTTTAACCGACGGATGCTAGATCTGGGTCATCGTTGAACTGACCGTTTGTCGACGAGAGAAGTTCCGTTTAGACGTACAGTTTTTTATCCTTAAAGTGTCAGTCACATAAAAGGAATTTAACACATTACACCCAAAGGGTCTGGATGGGAAGTCCATTGTTAGATCCTAAGCAAGGGGCCTTTAAAAAAAGACATTTTAAAAGTACTAAACAAATTTCAAAATCCTGAAAAAATAAAAGTTAAAACGTATAATGATTGTAGTTTCAGAAAATTATAACTTTATGTACGCGCAAACTGTTGGAAATGCTCTAACTTAAGTTCAATCGAGGTATCCGACCCGTCACTCTCACTCTCAGCCTCGTGGTCGGGCCTTAGAACTAAATTCTAGATTTTCTACGTCTGATCAATCTGAATCGCCCCAAACTCTTGCTACAACGTTTTCATCAAAATCTGAGTCATCTGATTAGTCATATGCTTGTTTTTTATCACATTCATTGTTATTTCCTTTTCCGAACTCAATTGTGTCGCTTTTCAACAAGTCAAGACACCTACGAAGTGTCGGTAACGCGATCGCATTTCTATCGGCTCTAGTACTAAAACTACTGGCCCGAAAAATTTCGTTTCGGTATCAAATGAAAGAAGAAACTTTTTGCAATAACTATGCAGACCAAAGTCTCGGCCCCAGAGTCTCGTCAAGGCGAGACTTCGTTTCTAAAGACGTTAGGTCGGCGCGGGCGGTTCTGGGCGAGTCAGGGTGGAGCACGTAAGGGAATTCGCGGGCAAGTTAGGGTGTAATGTGTTAACTAGGTAATCCGGTATGAAATTGTGATCCTCGTGTGATTTTTCCTAATTTTGGGTCACTGGTCACGAAAATCTCATTATTTTGCAAATTTGGCCAATATTTAGGAAAATTTTGGAATGCATTTTCAACTCTGCCTTGGCCAACATCAAATAGCCACTCCCTCGTCGTCATGCCTTCAGTTCGCCGGCCGGCAAATATCTGGCGAAATCTGGTGGCTTGACTGAGAACCCTTCGATATCGAGAGGTTTGCTCGGTTCACCGCTCAGTTTTACCGGGAAGTTGACGGGATCTCCCCCCCCCCCCATTCTTTCGATATCCTACAGTTTGTCAATGAATGAACTGCACATATAAAGGGCCTCTAAGTGAGAAGAATCTTTTAGCTTTCATTTCTCTCAGATCACAATTTGAAGCAGTTTATGAAGGTGATTTTGGTACTGTCTCTGATTTTTTTTTTTTTACTAGGCACCACAATTTCATAATGCTTTGAAGATTTCAAAATGTCATGTTTATTAAACTGTAATTACTTACCAATGTTAAGATAAAGGACACAACTCTCGTTCCTTTTTCGACACATACAAAAGAACTTGTCTGGGCATTTGTTATGTGAAGACTGCTCAGTATAGCTCTTTCCTTCACTCTTTAAAGCTATGTTCAATGGCCAAGTTTTGTATGAGAGGAACATGATAGTCAGAATTGACAAAGGACCAGAGCCGGACAAGCCTAAGCTGCCCAGTGAGTTTGCCTGATTTTTATGTTTATTCTAATTCAAAGGAAGTTGTACATATTTGAGGGCTCTGTTTTTATTGGTTATGAAATTTGTGTGTGTGGGGGGGGGGGGGGGGTTGTCCCTCTCTTGGTCTTCTAGAATTCTTAGGAACAATTCCCAAGATGTAATGGAAAATTCCAAAAGTCAGTAGGTTTTCTTTTTCCATCCCTGAAATTTGGATAGTTGACAGCAGCCAAATGTTTGATTCTGTGCACATTGAATCGAAAGTAGTTCTCAGTTGATCTCATGGATTTGTAATACTGTCCACAGCTATGGCTTTTAACAAATTATAAAGTCTTAAGTTTGTTATTTGTAGTCACTTCTGTTGGGTTTCATTAATGCTGAGGTGAACATTAGGACTGTATGGAATCTAGTATTTGAGTTTTGTTCAAAGAAAAGACATGCTTGTGGGTGGTTGGTGGGTGCTCTGGTGTTGTTTGCTCCTTCTTTCCTCAAACATCTATCGTCCTTATCTCCCCTTCTTCTTTTTTTTATGTTTGTTACTCTCTTGTAACACCTCTAATCTTCTGGCGCTCATATGACCTTATGCAGTTGGGAGCGGCGTAAAACCTCTACTAAAACTTAAAAGAAAAAAAGACATGCTTCTTTTATAAATCATAATTTTTTCTTGTGGGCGACTGTACTTTCAGATGTGATATATTCCCTCTAATTCTTGTCAGTTTTTCTGTTGTCTTAGTCTTCCTTTTGAAATTTAGGTGTTTATAGACTAGTTCATTGTAACCTTTTGACTTTTTAATATTTGCAGGTGGCCTAAAATCAATAGGCATGGGCCTGGGAACTGGTGGAGCCCCAGTCACTAACTTTAATCAGCTGGGATCCAGTAAGTTTCTTGGTTATCACATCTGTTTAAATGCATGCTATTTTATGTTTGTAGCTTGTAAAGCCTTGTTATAGCAATAGTCTTTCTTGTACTTCCATTGTAAAAGCACTGATTGTATTTCTTTTTCTCTTGTTTGGTGCAAGTTGCTCTTTTCAATGTAGCATGTTCATTACATGTAAGTGCAAACTTTTTTATTGTCTTGTAAGTGTTAATGTTTAGAAATCAAAAGGTCATTTGTGTTTCCTTTTTAATTATAGTGATTTTATTTGTTCCATGTCTGACAATATTTTTTTTTGTCGATAGATGGAAGTTACGGGTTATCTGATCCGTTAATGAAACCAGGTATGTGTGAAGAAAGAGGGTATCTCTTTTTCTACATTGGTTTTTCCCCCCACCTTTAAACATTTACTGTGATTTGGCTGTTGTTTTCAACAGATATATTGTCTGTGTAGAACTGGCAGTGTTCTGTCCAGCTTTCTTGCAATTGCCTTGTAGTTCAGTGGACTGTTTTGGAGGAGTTAATCATTTCTTCATGTTTAAGAATATGTTTTATGGAAGATTACGCTATGTTTCAATTAAAGCTTATGAAGTTCAGGGAGAGTTACTGATGAAGTAAATTGACTTTAGTATGACACACTGTTGTGTCCTGTATGTTTGGTTTTGGTTTCACCTTTTGTACAATTAATCCTCTACTGATTGTTGTAATTATTTTGTGCATGTCTTGTAATTGATGTAATGCATCTGGAATGCTGGATGTAAATTGGTATTCATGTTTCAGAATCACCTCGTAGCAGTGTTAGTTCTTTTTTAGTTAGTGGGTGATAAGTGGGTGCTGTGGCGGGGTTTGCGCCTTTCCTATCAAACATCTATCGTCCTTATCTTTTCTCCTTCTTTTTTGTGGTTACTCTCTTGTAACATCTCTTATCTTTGGCACTACTTTGACCTAATTGTGTTGCAAGTGCAGTAAAATGCTTACTACTTAAACAATCAATGTTTCTCCTAATAGGCAGTCATAGAGCGTGGCTTTTTCTCATCAGAGGCTTATTTTCATTCCAAGATTGTTTTGTGAAATGGCAATAATTGCTCTTTGATTGCTAACAAGGCATGAGAAAGCTCAGATTGCGGGTTGTTGGCGGGTGCTATGATATTGTTTGCTCCTTCTTTCTTATCCAACAGTTATCATCTTTATCTCTCCTCCTCCTTTTCTTTGTAAGTTACTTTCTAGTAACATCTGTAATCTGCGGTACTCATAGATGATCTATGTGTGCGGCAAGTGCCATAAAACTTATTAAAACTAAATAAAAAAGCTGAAATTTGAGTAGTCTGTAAATAATATTTGTTTCCACTTTTCCCTTAGTGGCTAATATTTTGGAGTGGTTGAAATATCAGCTTTGAAGGTTTACATTCAGCTAAAATCAGTCAGGGTGGAAAGTTAAATTAACTCAGTCATCAAAGCATCGGTTGTATTTCCTTGTGTAGTTTAGTGTCACCTTTATCCTTGCTCAAGAATATTTTAAAATGTCAGTTCTTAATTAGATTGCACATAGTCTTAAAGTAGTAAATTATTATACTCTTCTTTGGTCATGTCTTCAAACTACAATCAGGTTATGTTTTTATTCATATTTTTATTTCTCGATGGAAATTTTACTGAGTTGTTTGGGAACTTGCATCTTTCTACATTGCAGACATATGTTTAAATCCCCTGGTTGTCAGGTATTAGAAAAAGTGATTCAGAACTTGAGTCGTGGGTATTTCTGCTGCTCGTTGTTTAATTTTTCTATTGACATGCAAGGCAGTAAAATTTTACAGTTGAACAAGGCCTCAACGGTCACCAGTACTAATGGTTACTGTTCCATGCTACCCTTGTTTTAACCTTTCCTAAGTAATCCCCATCCAATGCAGCCATAATCAATCACATTTTGGCGACAAATCCAAGTCAGCCGCAAAACCTGCTTGTAGTGGTCACTTGCTTCAAAAGTTTTCAGCCAGCCCATCCTCAGACTGAGTGTATACTGTGTATACTTGCTCTCCTATAACACAACCAGGCGTATTTATAGACAGATTCTATTTTGACTCCAAGTATGGCCGATTTTTGTAGGTTGCTTGTATAGTACAGGGTGAATATCTGACATGCTGGGGGTGGGCTCAATATGAGTAAAATCGAGTATTAGTCAGACATCATTTGTAACAAGTGTCTTTCTTTTAAAATCAGCTGGTTATTGTACTGAGATTGATGTAATCTGTGAGACTGGTGTGACAGGTAATTCATACAAAACACTGTGATGTGTTGTAATATTCAATGAAAAATTCTTTTCCAAATTACTCTCCCTTTGATGGGCGCGATCCTGGATCCTGACTGTATGTCGCGGGGGGGGGGGGGAATTCTTTGGTGCTCATTTTTCTGATAAATCACTCATATTGCAGTCCGAGTACACATGGTATGTTGAATCAGTCTCTTAAGATAGATGACAGTTTTGACGGAAATAAAGTGGAAATGTGAGATTAAGATTTCAGATTTTCAACCATCTGCTGATTTTGTCAAGTAAGTGATCATAACTCAGATTCTGTCTTGAGCGGCCACCTGTCTGTAGCTCACTTTCTCTTTCATACTGAATGACCATAATGGACAGGTTCGAATGTATTATTGAATGTCCTCTTTTCTTTTCTTACAGATCTCGGCCTTGGTGGAGGGGGTGGACTGCTTGGCATGGGCAACCTCGGCGGTGTTAGTGGCTCAGGTCTTGGCCTTCTCGGGTCTGGAGTTGGAGGAGGGGATATGGGTCTCGGGGGCCTTGGCGGTGGGCTCGGAGGGGGACTTGGTGGTAACCTTGGTGGTGGCATGGGACTAGGAGGTCTGGGAGGCTCTGGCTCTCTGAACTCTGGTGGTATGGCTGGTGGCTCAGGGGGAATGGGCCTCGGGGGTGGCATGGCAGGCTCGATGCCAGACATGGGCTTGGGAGGTCTGAGTGGTGCCTCCAAAATGGCAGGGATGTCAGACAGCTTTTCAAACTCTTACTCTGGCATGGGTGCCTCCAACTTCAACGGCAACAACAGTCTCTCTGGTCTGGGAGGCTTGGGCCCCAGCCTGAGCTCTCTCTCCACTGGCCTTGGTGGGATGGGAGCCGGAGACCGCCTGGGTATGGGAGGGGTGGACAGGCTGGGCCTAGGGGATGGGCTTGGCAGAGACCGCATGGGTTTGGATAGAATGGGCTCATTGGGGGATCGCATGGGAGGGATGGACAGACTGCCAGGTGGGGATAAGCTCAGAGATAACTATGGCGGTGGAAGGGACATGCGAGATATGAGAGATGATGGAGGCAGGAGAACCACCCGGCCTGACAACTGCACAGTCATGGTGAAAAATGTGAGTGAACATTTTTGGGGGTTCAGAAAAATGTTGCATGTGCATCATGCTTGGAATTTACAAAAATGCAAATTCTTTATTTAACTTGTGTACTATGATCTGTATTAAAAAGAATCTACTGAACTGGAATTTTGTTTCACACGAAAAATATGTGATTTTATCAAAACAACACGTTCTGCAAGATCTCTGTGGGCGGAATTTTTTTTGTTGGGACAATCTTATGAGGTAGGGGAATTGATTGGCTTGGATATTTTGATTTTTAAAAATGCTGTATTTACCACATTTAAGACAGGGATTTTAAGGGCTTTATTTCAGAGTTGTTTCCTTGGGTTTTTTATTTTCCAGCAAGTAGTATAAACAGAATTAGTAGTAATTTTTGTAAAGTAATTAGCAAGATCAAAATACTCAAATCAAAGGTCTGGAAACTGACAATCTTTGTTTTCCAATGTATGCAATAAATACATGCTTTTGCAAGCGTCTTTTTTGTTCAGTTTTCTGTCTCAATTCTTTCTACAAAGCGATCTGAAAGACTGGCTATAGTTCGTTATATTATTTTTGATCTGACTTAATTTGCTCTTGATGTTAAACATTTATTTCATGGGATAATAGTAATTCTGTGGATGAAAAAAAAATATTCATCCATCACTGCTTTTCATTTTGTTAAAAATCCCCATAGGTCTGGAGTAATGTAAAAAAAAAAATCTGCAAAAGACATTTTGAAAACAATCCAATTTTAGAAAATAGCTAAATGATGTGCAGATTTATTATTTTTTTGTGGCAATTTATTTTAATAATAATTTCAATGTATGAACTGAATTCAGTGCAAACTTTATGAAAATCCTAGTATATATGTTTACGGGTTAAGTTAATAAAAACAGTTTCTTTTTTGTGCCTTTTAATAAATGTTGTTTGTTGTATTTTTTTGTCTTTTGAGATGTTCGCAAGTCATCAGCTTCACATGCTTAATTTATTTTGTAAAAATTTATGCTGTAACTGCAGTTGCACTATCTTTTTTCCTTACTAGCACTTACTTTTACAATTAAATGCTGCATATGTAACTGACCTTTATATATTGTTCTATATACCATTTCCAATTTTTCCTGTCACCAGCTCCCATACAGTACCAATTGGCAAGCACTGAAAGAACATTTTAGAGATGCAGGTAAGCACATTGTTAGAAAAGACGCCTGCCTGGTCTGTGCTTTACTTTTAAAGCAATGTTGATTACTTTTTACAGTTTTTCTCCTTTTCCTCCTGACTGGAGGAGTTAATAATTATCACTCATGAGTGCATGTTCCAAGTCAACAATTATGTCAGAAACGAATCAGCCATAAAAATGACTTATTTCCCTTGGGACTGATGGAAGCAAACACTACATACCCTCCTTTATTACTTGAAATTGCGGTTTTGCCAAGGAGAAAAAGGCATACAAGCACAAGGTGTGAGACAGAATTTGCTCAATAAGGAAAGCCAGTGACGGCCGTGCGTACCATGCGGACAGTGTGAGAGGGCTGTACTGTAATTATGAAGGTGGTAGTCTGTGATCACTGGGCATAGGGAAACTTCACTCTCTTCAGGTGAGCTCAGCTTAATGGCACAGTCCTCTGCAAAAGATCAGATGCGAGTTGGTTCACTCTAGATTACTCCTCTTTGAAATTCGCTTTGTAATGCATTTGTATAAAGGCACACTTTCCTTGTCACTGGAGGTACATGCTATTTGCCAGAGACCACTGTACCACAAATATGTGCATTTAGTAGCACTTTGACAAGGGTGTTGTGGACAAATGTGAGGCATCGTGGTGAATGAGGCACTTGTCAAAATAATGAAATTGAAGAGAACAGCATTTTTCTTCTCCTGAGGCTATTTTTATCGAATTTTTAGTTTCTGGCCCAGTACTTTTTATGTCCATTTAAGAACAATTTGCTGTGTTACTTTATCTTAAAAGTGTTGATTAAAGACACAAAAACTGTAAATATAGTTTCCAAGGACCCAAGCTTTGAAAGTCACTAAACTTTGGCAGCCATTTTCTCTCTAATTTTATCTCTGAAACCAGGTGACCCCCACTTATTTCAATCCAAAATATCTCGACGTCTATTGAAGATAGAAGGGTAATTAGTTCATTGAAAGCAAGACAAATGGACAAGTTTTGAGATGATACCAATAACTCCATATGCCCCAAAATTGACGCGCGCCTGATTCCACCGCGTGTGACACATGCTGTTTCTTGAACAACACCAGCACACCCCCCCTCCTCCATAACCCAACAATAGCTCTAAAGAGTTCGTATTGATTTTCTTTCAGGTGATGTCAAATTTGCTGAAATTGTTCAGGACAAAGGACGATCGACTGGCGTTGGCTACGTCAGGTTCAGTAATGAGATTGATGCTCAGAGAGCAATCAGTATCCTTTAAAAGTGGACTTGTTTGTAGTTTTATTTTTAAGTAAATGTATCAAAAATAACAACTGGACATGTTGGTGACTCAAAATTAACAGTGGACGCTTCCTTTGAGACTTTTGATTCAATAATTACAATGTAGTTTATTAAGTAGGAAAACAAATCGGAAGCCCTTGAAAGGAGTTATGTTATGAGTATGATTTGCATTTCTTAATTTGAAGAGACAGGTCCTTCTTGAGAAGTTGTGAGTTTGTACTAGAAGAAAAATGCTGGTCACTCGAGCTGATAAAAGGATTTTTATGTTCTCAGGTTTTCTTTTGAAACAAGGCTGGTATTTAGGGAACTTCTGTTTTGTATAAGGGGGGGGGGGGGGGGTTCCGCAGAATGGGGTTATTTGTATTTTCACTATGACCGAACAAGAGCAAGAGTGAAGAATTTTTATCATTTTTGAAAATCTGAAGAATGAGCTTTTAGTTCAACACAGAAAATTATTTTTATTAGACCAATGAGCATATGTGTAACTGGCTTTTAAGAGCACTAGATGTTTTTTTCTTAACTGTGAACAGGTCTTAAAAACAGGTCAAGGATTGAGAGGAGGAACATTGATGTGATTCTACACCGAAACTGAGTTTGAGTGAGTAACTCAAATGAGTTAAGTTTCATTACCAGTGGGAACAAGTATTGGTGTCATTGACCATCATTTCAGCAGCTAGATGTTGGTTTTCTACAGACTTTACCTGATCGCGATGACTTTTGTTTCTCTTCATGACTTCCATGTATCTCTGTTCATCACAAATCTCCTAATCTCTGAAAAATTATGGCAGTGTTGTCTTCCCCTTTCATAGATTTGTTTGTCTTCTAAAGGTGAATTCTTCCCTTTTTGTATTAAGTGGTTGAGGCTCCTTGCTTTAATATGTTTATTGAATCAAGTGACTCGTTGGTTTTATGTGTATTTGATGTTGCTTTTAAGAGCTGTATATGTTTTCTTCAGAAGAGTTAACCTTTAAATAGGGACATGTGCCTGTCTCATGATGCTTTTTCTGTAGTGAAGTTCTGCTAGCACCTGAGTGGTTGTCACATTTTCATCTCTTTTAACAAGTGGATTTTATCCTGATAGGTTTCGAATCTGTTTGACAGTTCTGCGATGATCCATATACTTTGATTTTTTGTTTATTTTGTTCACAGTTTATACAAAGTGTTCAACTTGGGCAGGATTTGTCTAATCATAGAACTATGTTTGTTATCAAATGCTACATGGAGTCTTGTAATGTTTGTTATTGCTCAGAAGGGTCACCATTTGTAGTGCATGTGAATGAATAAACCAAATCTTTTGCCTTTAAAAAAATTAATTCAGGACTTTGGGTGACCTTTGCATTGACTGACACTGAGTTTCTGTTATATTTTTATTTTCATATGTTAGTTACACTATGTATTTGTTGTTACTTTCGATTCTAGGAGAGTTTGTTCTTCAAGTACAACTCTTACGGCAGGTTCAATAATTCTTTCATAGACATTTTGGATAATATTTGTCACTTTTTTCAGCTCTTGAATCCTTTCCTTTGTTAAAAGTCTCTTGAATTTTATACTTTCACAAATTGTTTTACGAAAGAACATCATTTGAAAACAGTGGTACTGGGTAACAATGATTATTATTTTGAATAAAGATGGCAGTTAATTGTCTCATAGCGAAAGCTTTTGTTTTCATTTTGATTGTCTTGCTATACTTTATCAACATGGTTTTGGAAGAAAGTACTTGTCTGTTTTGTGCTTTTAATCTGTAAGTTCTGAGGTCCTTGGAGACATGTGTAGATAATAATTTCTGTGTGATTCTGTTGTTTCAGAAAGCACACAATGATATACTTTGGTCGGGTTTTGAAGTAGAATGGTATGCGTGCTGTGAAAATCAAGTATTTGGGTTGCATAAAGGTTTTTATGTAGCTTCTCAGATGAAAGACACGTCATTTCTGTCAACTGATTGTTCAGTTGTTTGTATTCTTTGTTGTGCTTGGGATGTACAAATTTGTTTTGGGTCTTCAGTCTTGTCCGACTAAGTGGAATGAGATTCGATATCCATTTTATGTGGAAAGCTTTTGCAGTGATCACCTCTTTGAGTCCTGTTTATCTGCAAGCCAGTCTAATCAAGTAAGGGAAAGTGTTTGCTGTCGCATTACAATAGGCTCTTGGTGTGCTGCTTGTGATTACTTTGTAGCTGTTACTGGAAAGCTTTATTCTGGAGTAGGTGGAGTGAGTTTGGGGAAAATTTTATTCTTGCCAGTTACAGGATATTTTCTGAGTGTGACTTCCTTCCTTTTTTCTGGGGTAGCTTTTATCTTTATCGAAAGTTCTTCACAGTCCTTTTTTTTTTATTGCTGTTGTCTTAACACATGCTTGGCGTAAGTGCAGCTCAAAATCATTAGTATGCACACTGGCTTATTGAGAATGTTAACAGTGATCTGCAGGCTCTTTGATATAATATAGAAATGGTGTGTTTGTACAGCTGAGCCTTTTTTTTGGTTTTATTTTTGACTTTTGGGTGTAATGTGGCTTAATGGACAATTGGTGATATATGAAAAGGCACTTGGTGTTTGCTGTAAATGGTTTTCACTGACATTACATGTATTTTGATTGTTTATTCTGGTGAGCGAATGTAAGAGAGGAAATACTCTATGCTCCGTGGGCTCATCTGACTTGAAAAATCTGTCTGCTTCGTGCCGATATGTCCTCTAATGGTTTGTGTACAAAATAACAAGTCTGAAAGGTTTGTACGTTTTGTGTGTCTGAAAGTTTGTATGGCCTTGGTCGTGTATCATTTCTATCTTCTCTCTTCTTGTTCAAGTGTATCTGTTAAGTGACTTCATTTGTGAACATTTTTAACTGTTTAGAACAAAAGAATAATGGTACAAAGTGAAAAGTTCTGGGGCTTTCAGCAATGAATTACTGAATGATTGACTAATACCTTGTTTAACACTGGCGTTGCCATTCTTATTCCATCTTGATTGGAGTGGCTTTGGCCATAGTGACCAGCGTGGGTATGTTTCAGAAAGTACAACTGTTTTTTTGTTTTTCTCTGTTTCGGCATATTATATGCCTCCTGAAAAGATTTCGAGAGGTCCCATGCTTTCACGCACATACATATATTGTGGATTTGGAAATGAAAGTTAAAAAGAAAAGTTTCCTACTTCATGGAAAAAGCAAGATGATTGTGGTGGATTGAGGGTTGTCTATGGTGTCTGCTGCCAGTGCTTTGAACCTGTTCTTGTCTTGGTCTTATCTGTGTCGTCTTTTGTTGTTTGTGTCTTAAGCTTTTTTGTCATTAAAAGCACCATCCAGATTTAAAACTTCTGAACTTCTGGCGGTTAATCGTTCATGCGAAGGAGGCAATAGCTGTGCTTGCTGATTCATGTCTGAAATCAGCAATTGTTTTCAACTGATTGTTGGCTTATTTGGGAAGACTAATGTAAGTATTAACACTATATTCACTTTCTGGCTTGTTTACTCCTTTGTCTTTGATCCTGGAGTGGAGTTAGTTTGTTCTTCAGTGGGCAGGCTGTAGTGTGCAACAATGGTTGATGTGGAAGATATTGCATTATATTGGAGGAAGGTGGTGATCAAACGTCAGTCTTGGTTCATTTGCGGTGGATTTAGAAAATAATAATCAATTATTGCTGTCAAATTTTATGCAAGTTGATATGCTCAAAGTAAAGATTGTTAAAAAAAAGTAGTGTTTTTTTTTTCTTTTAAGGCAGGTTCATTGCTTTGTAGTCATATTGGTTTAAATAATTGTTGCTTTGCTTGTATCAGGATAATTTTTGTCTTTTCTAAGTTCCATAAATAAGGATAGTTTTTGGCTCGTTTTGACATTGTATTTTTATAGATTAGTGAAATGGGTAAAAGAAATTTAGTAAATTTAATAATTATCACTTTGAATTTGCGAGGTATTTATCATTTGAGGGCATATACTTCAGGTAGAAACGTTTAATAATGTATTTAAAAAGATCTGAGGAAGAACTTATGGGGTATTGCTGTCTATAGGGAAGTAAGATAAAATTAAAGATAATAATTCAGTTTCATATAAATTCTCTCAGGTCTGTGAGCTGGAAGTTTGCTGCATAATACTTATGGCTGGTGTTGTGTCAACTCGGGTAAGTGCCTTTAAAACATCATGCGTATAAATCAGTTGTTCCAAGAACCTCATCTCAGTATCAAAATGGTTGTTTAGTTGAAGGTAATGGTCAGCCGTGTGTCTCCCTCTTCACTTTTTATTTGGCTTTTGCTTTTAAATTGATATTGTGGGTGAGTGCAGAGGGGTATGTTTGTGTGGAAAAGTATTTGGAAAAGGAAAAAAAGTTTAATCCTTTCTTGTAACTAGTTGCCTAAAAGGGCAAAATCACCAAAAAATTATTTAAATAAATCTATTTCTCTCTCGAAATTAACATTTTTTAGGAGTAGTATGACAATGAACGAAGTATTTTTTAGGCAGCACATTGCTTCACTTTTGGCATGCATATTAACACCATCTTTTCTTCTGTGGATTGTGAAGAATTATCTTGAAACATTTTTTTGTCCCCCCGGGGGAGTGCCACTGATTGTAGTGTCTGTTGGCCATTCCCAAAGGGGGGACATTTCTCGTTCAAGCATAGTAGAATTATAAATGGGCTGACTCATGTCACGCTCATAACTGTGCCTGATCTACAACAGGGAACTGCTGCTTTTTCTCTCCCGATCCTTACTATTGTCATTTTCCTCTACTTCTTATGTTTGTCACTCTCTTGTAACCTGCTATTTTGGGGTGCTTTGATAGTCGAAGCAGACCTTGTGCTGTTGAGGCCAGAGAGGTGAGCAGAGTAAGTCTGATTCCCTTTAAAGACTTCTCTGTTGACACCCACCCCTTGGCGCTCATATGACCTTATGCAGTTGCGAACGCTGTAAAACCCTCCACAAAAAAAGAAAGAAAAAAAGAAAAGAAAACATTTTTTGCCACAGAAATATATTCCTGCTTCAAAGTTTTGGGTTGAACATAAGTGGACCCCGCCCAGATTCTATAACATAGCTTAATTCCCCATAGAACACATTAAATTTTAAAACGTAAATAAGTTCAGTTTTTAATGATATTGGGGGGAAGTGGTGCCTTAAGTAAAACAAATAAAGTCTTAGGCACTTCAGGATAGCAAAACAGAAATAGACACGAGAATACACATGTGTGAATTGTGGGCTAATTGCTAACATATATTCGAACATATCAATAGACTTACACATTATGTAAGCTTACAGTGAAACCAGGACAGGGCATATACCAATGTATATGTCATGTGATCTTTGGTAGGTTATGACTTATTGTCTCTGCGAAACTAGTTCACATACACACGAGCATATATGTGCAGCACATGTTGTGTTTCTTGATGTTTCTGGCATTGGGTGTTCTCTAAGGACATGGGGTACTGGTATAATCTTTGCTTTCCAGCCATCTCATTTCTCTAGCGCAAAGTACAATACAGTTTAATATGGTGTGCTAATCTACTTTTTCATCTACTGTATAGTCGTAGTGATTGTTCACCACTGTTCAGCATTTTAAGCAACAATATCCAAGAGAAAGCACAGTGTTTACACCCTACAACTTAAAGTGCAGAGTTACTTAATGAGGTAGATCAGAAGAAAAACAAAACCTTTTCAAGAATGAATTTTCCACAAATACAACACTGTCAACAGCCATAGCTGGGAGAAAAAAGAAACTGATACAGTGAAGAGCAGCGAGTTTTTCCAATCCTACTAGAAGGGGAAGGCAAAAAGCCATTAGGGAGCAATTTCTCTAAACTGAAGAAAACTAGGTCCCGCAGATTTCGGTTTAAGCGATCTCCACTGTAACTGTAAGGTGTTTTTATAATTGTTGTTGGGACAAAGAACTATTCTGTCCCGCGGAAAATGGCATTTTTGAAGTATAAAAATTGCAAGGTAAACTGCCTAAAAATTGCAAAAAAAATTGGAACCTTCCCATCCCAGGCGCATTAATATGGTCTGAACATTTTTAGTTTAAAATTCCTGACAGTTTGAGTACCGTTAGCATAAAAGCAGAACAGCCTTTAAAAAAATCATGACCCACAATACAAATTTTATTAACAACATTTACTTGTAATAACACACGAGTACGTTAACAATAAAGTTATCGACCAAATATAATATAATACCGCGTGACCCAAAATAACGGAACCCTCGGTTTTTGTAATACATGTAACTTTTAAATGAAAGCATAAAATTTTACCAAATTTAGTACATAACGGGTACTTGGTTCATGCAAAGATTTTGAAGTGTAGTATGAGGTTTAGTCTATAAAAACCCAAAAAAATTAATTGGAGATTGAAACCTCTAAATGCAAAATTAGCTTAGGCCCAGTCGATTCAGATCCTTCTATTTTTCCCTTGATACCTTCGATACACCGGTAATCTGTATTTAGATCTATTTCAGATATTTTCTTTTTTAAAACCAGTATGGTATTGTTTTAACTCTAAGTCAAATCGTAAAATACAGCAATTTTTTTTTTCATTTAATAGTAATAATAATATAGATCATTTCTATAGCGACCACTCCTGTGTGAACGCAGCATAAGGCGTTTTACATTTATTTAGGGAGTGTCTACGTACACGGGGCACGTAGTCTCAGAGTCACGTACACGGTAACCGGGCAGTTCAGAACTCCAAGTTCAGTTTTTGTCATCCGGTGTTGCCTTCAACCCCAGCCCTCTCCCGACAGTAGCTTTAAAAAAAAATCAATAATTCCCCCTTTCCGGAGTCCTATACTTCGCAGTGCACAGACTTTGAATGAACTTTGGTGACCCCAACCGGTACTCACAATGTGATACGAAGCACAGGTTCACTGACTAGTCACAATGGTGAGCCCGACAAGACGCTTGTACATGTATGACTTTCTTTTTTTTCAACAAGTGACAGCATACAGGGTCGGGATATCGGGAAAAAGTCGGGAATTTTGAGATGGGTTGGGAGGTCGGGAAAAAGTCGGGAATTTTGTGATGGGTCGGTAAGTCGGGAAAGTATAGGGCCTGTGTAATGTGCCGCTATCTAGACTGTATGGTTGATGAGGCCTAAAGAGGTAACGTAATTGAACCGCTGTGACGGAAGTGTGTGTGACACCGAGGCTCGATCGGGAAGAATCAAGATCTGCTTTCGTTACTGCCCAGAAATGTTCCGGTAATAGTCTGATAGATAACGCAACATTTGTATCATGCAGGTTGTGCATTATGAACGCTGTGTCGCCTTGAAAATAAATCAATATTAAAAATTGCCCTCTGCTGTCGCTTGTGGAAAAAAAAAAAAAAAAAAAAAAGAAGTTATACAAGCGTCTTGACAGGTTCGCCCTCGTGACTGGTCAATGAACCTGTGAGTACCGGCGGTCTGAGCGCTGTGAAGTATAGGACTCCTTTATAAGATACACTCGTGGAAGGAGATGGGGGGGAGGGGGAGCTGAAGGCAACGCTAGAGGACAAAAACTGAACTTGGAAGCAAATTTTGTAGCATTTTGATTACTACTTTAGAGCTCTCTGCAAAGTGCGCGTTGGTGCAGGCCTTGTGTGGAATCAGGATCCGTCATGCGGCTCATGCCTTGTTATTGAACTAAAGTGTTTGCGTTTCATTGGATGGGGTGATTGTAATTTATATCTATATTTTATTAGCTTTCTGTTCAAGACTGGCAGATTTTCAGTGTCACTGCATCTTGCGCGCCCCCCCCCCCCCAGTTCTTACACCTCTCACACTGAATAGGTGTACTTGAGCCATTCTAGTTATTACTCTACTTTGAGTTGCAGCAATGGTTTTCGTCTTCACGTTTATTATATGAATCGTGACACCCAGACTGGTTATTGACAGTCGATTTTCTAGTTCTAGGTCTTTTTTCAGGCTCAAAACAGGATTCATTTGTTTAATATAGGGCCTATAGTTTGTTATGTTGGCTAATATGATGATGGGAAAATATAAATAAAAGTAAGAACAGACTGAAATACCAAAGTCTCTCAAGATCCCAGTGCCACACTGACATGTTGTTTACTGGATATAATGTACCTACATGTGTGTGTGTGTGTGTATTCACAAACATATACATGTATTATATTAGATATAAATGGAGCACACGCTTTCATTGTTATGTAACGTGTTCCTGGAAAATGGATGAGGCCCCTCCCTTGGAAAATTGAGAAGCTGGTTTGGCAGTCACCCAGTATTATAGGCATCTATTGTTAGAAGGCTATACTACAAAATGTACATTTGCATTAATTTTTAGACATTTTGACTTTTTATCTTTGATAGATGGGCTTTTTTGGGGATCATTCTTGACGCGCAGCGGCCTGATTTTTCCGTCGAATTGGGGACTTGAAAAAAATTTGGGGGTCTTGAAAAAATTTTCCAGGATTTGGTGGGGACCCTGAGCATAGGACAAATATTGATTTATTTTCTTTCCGGTTACCATGCATGTAGATACTGAGAGAAGATGCCCGGTTACTGTGTATGTAGACACATACATCATGTACGAACAATATTCACGCGCGCGTGCACACTCACACACACACACACACGTCCGCCTTACACATGCACACCACACACATGCACGCACCTACGTTCTGATCACGCGCGCACGCTTACACTTACACACATTAGATCTCTATGTCTCAGTTTGTGTTGTACATGATGTATTCCGGCCTGAATTTCCGGTTATAGCCATTTGAGTACGCCCAGTAGACTAGAGCTGGGCCGAAACCATGATTTACGTAAGCCTATCGGCTCTGTACTCTCACCATTTCGAATTAAAAATTCTGTTAAAATTAAAGCGTTGATGTTTTTTTCCCGAAAATTGCAAAAAATTGCGGGTTTACTCGGCAAAAAACGCGGCCGCAAGACCACGATTTCCTGGGGGTGCCAGACTATTGATGAATTTTTTTTTTTTTCAAAGTTGTCATAAACAGACCCCATTAATCAAAAAGACAAATAATGAGGTCAAGAAAAAAAGTCTCAAAGCTTAAGTCTGTTTGTGCTTTCTGGTATACCAATGATTTGAAAAAGCAATGGATGCCTTTATTTTTATTTGCACTTTTACCTCTAATACATTCTGGGTTTTTTCTCTAATTCATTTAGTGTGGTGTCTGGCGTTCTGCTCCAAGAACATGAAGAGATCTGATTAAAGATTTGAATCTGAGGACCCCACATTTATAACAAGGTAAGGGTTTCTGTTCTTACTACACACAGTGGGCCCTGGCTATGACAGGATAGCTGGGGCTGACGCGATACCCCTGTGATAGCCGAATCCTGTTATAATGGGAGAGGATCAAGTTTACATCACTGTAATTAATTATCAATGAATGGGGTCATTTTTTGTTGTTTCTTTTAAAAAAAATAGATAATAGATTACCGACTGCCTATAATTTATCAGTTATCATTAATATTTTCTTTTCCAGTGATTTTCCTCCTCCACTTCATTTTTCTTTTTGTAGTATCTAAGTCTCTCTTGGATGATGACTTCATATCTTCGAGATGCTCATGAAGTGATAATATATATTATGTTTACATTTATATAGTGCATATATCCATGTTCTACAGCATGCTCTTTACAACTTTTCTTGGTTGAATAGACACACACACACACTTACACACATACACACACACACAGCCCCCCCCCCCCCCCCCCATAAAACTGTCTTAGATGCAAGTCTTTTTTATGATATATAATATGTTTAATCATGCACTCTCAATTTATTTGTTTAGATCTCGTGGAAACAAACTGATTTGATGTTCAACTCTCTTCCTTTTCGTACTCAATTGTTGAATATGCAAAACGGTGTGATAAATAATAATAGTTCTATACAACGCCAAGCCTAAGAACATATTAAAGATGGAAATCCAAGCAGTAGTATCCTGTCTATGAGTCAGTGAGATTTTTGTGCTTAGTTTCCTGTTTTATTCCAGTCTGCAGGCTCTCAGGATACCTTGGTCTTGGACTGCCATACCAAGCCTTGTTAATGGTTTGTGGAGTGATACAGCATGATACCAGATGTCTGTGGTGGAGATTTCTGACAGTTGTTGTGGATTTGTGGGCTGGAGTCACGGCTGCTTTCAATCTGTTAGGTGGGTCAGATTGTCTTTTTAACTTGTCTTTTGAGTCGTCTCTCAAGTTTAAGTTCAGCCCCCATGTTTTGAATTTCACGGAGAAATAATTCTTCAACTTGTCATTTTACATTGTTAGTGTTAGATATAGGATAATCTGGACTGGAACTGATTTTGGTTTATTGTCTTGTCTTAAGTTTGTACATCTTCAGATTTAAAGTTATAATTTTTGGGATGACGAAAGGAACTCCAAGGCAATTTTTGTACTGTCAGAAGTATAAGTATTAGCAGGGATAGAACTCTGCAATATGTTTTATTCTTTAAAAAAAACTACAAAAAAGCATCTCTTGCAATCCATATATATGCAATGCTATAGATGGTTCCACCATCACTGATAAAAAAATAAAGTTCTAAATTCTGAGGGCAATTTTTCCTTCTAATCTTTGTGTGCAAGGTTACCCACTCCCTAAAAAAAGTTTAGGTGGTTGGCGAGTGCTCTGATGTGGTTTGCTCCTTCTTTCCATCACCTCTTTTTCTTTCTTTTTGTGTGTGTTTGTTACTCTCTTTTAACACATATCACCGTAACTCGCCTGGGAATTTCCATACGCGCTCTACCGTAACTCGCCCTTAACTGCCCGCGCCGACCTAGTGTCTTTGGAAACGAAGTCTCGCCTTGCCGACCTAGTGTCTTTGGAAACGAAGTCTCGTCTTGCCGACCTAGTGTCTTTGGAAACGAAGTCTCGCTTAAACAAGACTCTGGGGCCGAGATTTTGTTTTTCATACTATTACTAAATGTTTGTTCTTCCGTTTGATACCGAAACGTAATTTTTCGGGCCTGTAGTTTTAGTATTACTATTAGAGCTGATCGAAGTGCGATGGCATTTCCGACACTTCGAAGGTGTCTAGACTTGTTTGAAAAGCAACACAACTGAGTTTGAAAAAGGAAATAACAATGGATTTGAGCTAAAACAAGCATATGATAAATCAGATAAATGAGATATTGATGAAAACATAGCAGCAAGAGTCTGGGATGATTCAGATTTATCAGATGTAGAATTTAGATCTAGGGCCTGACCACGAGGCTGAGAGTGAGAGTGACGGGTTGGACACCCCGATTGAACTAAAGTTATAACATTTCCAACAGTTTGTGCATACATAAAGTTATATTTTTCTAAAACTACATTCATTTTTCTAAGTTTTAATTTTTCAGGATTTTTTAAATGTGTTTTTTAAACGTATTCATGGGAGGTGGGTTTCTTCCTCTTGCTCAGGATCCAGGAATGGACTTCCCGTCCAGACCCTTAGAGTGTAATGTGTTAACCGTATCCGTACGCCCTGGGGTCATTTTGTACCCCCAGGGTTGTGTTCTTCACATTTTAGAATACTTCTAGTGCGAAGATCTCTTTGAAACTTTCAGTATTTCTCAAAAAATCATTTTGACAGACTACTATGCAAAGCGTACGGATAGGATTAACAAGTAAATTTTCTCTTTGGAAAGTGGTGGTACAGAGTTCCCCACCTCGTATGGATGCAATAGTAAAACACGACGTACGGATAGGGTTAACAGCTCTAGTCTTAAGCTTTTATATGACAGTGCTTCCAATTTTCTGCCACTTTTTAGTTTCCTCCAGACCTCATCTGCGGATCCGATGCCCGCCGCCTCATTGATGGTTCTCCCTCCCATGTGTTCGACTTTCTCACTGTCTCCGTTGTACAAAAAAACTACAACTAGATTTCTATATTCTAGATCTATGTTGCGGTGCCTTTCGTGAAGTCGTGCTGTAAACATCAAGCTTAATCTACCTTTCACTGTTGGAACTGCTGATGGCTGAATGGACAGCGTGTCTGCATTTGAAGTCATACAATTATTATTTTATGAGAGTGGAAACGAGTCCCGGTCCCGGAAGTTCTCCCCACCCCACTCCTCCTGACTGACCAACAATTTTTTCCCATCATTATCATTTGCTGCTTTGTAGTTTTTTATGTAATGAAGCATGCACATTCTGGTATTGTCCCTAGGAGAAACTTTTACTTACAAAGTATACTTTTCATTTTACCAATTTAGACCTGGTGGAAGTTAAATAGTGGCTTTACTTGGTGTCTGAATCTCATTCTTTTTTAAATTTTAGGCTCAGAAAGACCAAATTTTAGCTCTTCAAGGGCAAATTTTCTTCCAGAACTCCCCCGCCAATTTTTCCTCCTTTTTGGGATTTTGCTGTTGGAAGCACTGATATGACCTAATTCTGTGGCAAGTGCTGTGAAATACTTTCTAATACTTATACTTAGTGTCAAATATGCAGTTGTGTGTATGTGGCCTCTGGGGGTTCCGCAGACGCTTTTTAAATATATCTCAAATAGTGGAGTTGACTGTCTAGTGCTTTACAATCTTTGGTATAAGTCAGCATACTTGGGTGAACTTATGGTGACTTTTTATTTCAGGCTGTCGTACGGACTGCTGTCTGACTGTCTGGGTTGCAGTTTGTTTATATCTGGCAGACTGCACTGGAAAGATTGAAGGGCGGCTATTCAGCTATGCTTTTCATTAAAAGCCCTGATACTTTGAACAAGGCTGATGTGGCAACATTTTGACATAAAATTTGTCACTTTTTAAAAATGATTAGTTCTACATGGGCATGGTTTTACTTGTGTGAATGATTAAATAAAGACTTATTTTGAAAATCATGGTCTTTGGCATTTTCATTTTTACTCTCATGAGTATTGTATGAATTTAAGAACAGAGAAGTGAGAATTGACAGGTATCTTTGTTACACGATGCTTTGTCAGTGTCTGCAAGTAAGAAAGTTAAGAAAAATTTGTTTGAAATTTGATTTTATCAACACACACAATGGAGCACTCAAAATAAAAATATTAGTAATACTAAGCACTCAAAATAAAAATATTAGTAATACTAATCAAACCCCATTATACTGCTTACCATGGAGGAGCGTGAAATTAGCTGTCCAGTGGGGCTGGTGGTGTAACAAGATAGCAGTAGCAGCTATTGCCATCTTGACATGTGTATTTATGGGTGATAAATCAGAGCAGACATGATACCAGTGTCATGGATTAAGATTTTAGCTAAGAAGGACCTGGTTGCCACCGGCCTATTCAGGAGGAAGTCTGTGGAAGCTGAGACAAAGTACAGATAACCCCCTCTGTAGGCCTGTCTGTGCCTGGGTGGCAATTGTTCATTGAGCTAAATGCTCCTCTTATGCGATGATCATTATAGTGAAGTTTGATCATAATGAATTAACTAAAGCTTTTTATATTTTATGCTGCAAGGATGAAGAGAGTAGTCCCAGTTCTGAAAAAGTACCAGTAATTCTGTCTTGGTATGTTCAGGGGTACCGGTACGTCCAGAGAAGTTGAAACTGATTTTAAACTAATTTTTAAAAAATTTTTCAGAGAAACTAGCTTTGGGAATATGCTTAGAGGCCATCAGATCATAGTTTTAACAGGGATCCAGCATTTTTGCCTGGTAATAGTCGCATAAGCTCCACGGATGATGGGAGGGAGAATGTGGTCTAGATCTAAAACAATTATCCAAACACATGATGCTGACTTTCAGATTGTTTTATTATCTGTCGATACTTTGTCTTGTGTGTTAAAACTAAAGGGGATGTAAGTAATGTAGTTTTACTTGTGGGAGTGCAGTTCTGAAATGGCCCACAAAAACCTTGAGGAATAGAAAATGTGTGCTTTGAAAAATTCTGGGCACGCCGACTCCCAATGAGTTACTTAAGTCTTTTAATAAAGCCCAGGGAGAAACGGAATGTTCCCTCAATCCTGGGATTGGTGAAAGAACAAAGCATAGAGAAAGGGATACCATTGCTCTGCAAGGTAAAGGGATGGGGAGTAAAGTTTAGTCCTTTGACTTTGAAGCTGTTTCTGTCATGTACAGTAGTGTCATCCAAACTTGCTTGGCTAGCTGCATTCACTGTTCCTAACCTATCTACATCAAGATCAAATACATGTATAATGAAAAGAAAGATCACCTACCATCATCACACTCACACAATCAATTTTTTAAAGTGGACTACATTTTTGGTAAAATTGGCATGTCGGTGCCGTTAGCATTGCAAAAACGGGAACCAAATGATATAAAGGCGTTTTTCACGACCCCTATCAACACAAGTTAGATAACTTGGGAGGCGGGCTTCCAACCCTGCCTGTTAGTAGTGTTAGGGCCAAACCAGGCTGAGAGGGATACAAAACCCCAGGGGAAAGATGGAGATGCTCAATAAAAATTTCTCCCAACTCTGGTCTCCTGCAACTGCATGCGACAGTGAAGCTCGTAACTGCTACCTTACAGACTGGTGGAACCGAATGATGCTATCCCACCTCGCTGTAGCTGTTTGTACTGGACTGCCGTATGTGGTTGTAGTAGCTGATGCACGTAAAGCAGTGTTGGATCTTTCATGCGTGTCACTTTCATTTAGGCTGCCATACAGTGCAGGACCATAGGCTGAAACCAAATGTAGTGTGATTCTGTTGTTTGTTTTGTTTGTAAAAAGCCGTGATTTATTATTTATGCAGTCTCTACTTTTTCATATCTTGATGAAGTCTGGTACACGATCAATTTACAAGTACAATGGGTTGGAAACATAAGGCCCCAGTAGCCAGGATGCACTGTGTACAGTGGAACTCGGATTCAACGAGCTCGGATTCAATGAGTACTGGGATTCAACAAGAGGAGATGGATTCCAGGTTTTAAAAAAATTTAAAATCAATAATAATAACCTGGATTCAACGAACACTTACAAGGGGCACACAAAAGTTTTTTTACCTGATCATGAAGGAATACAGGTACACGTGTAGAAAGCTGAAATTTGGGGTGAAAGCCAACGATCATCTTCCTAGAATGCATGTACATTTTGGGGAATTTCCGATTTCTGGTTTTTACTCCAGCACACTGTAAGTGAATGGGGCATGTTCTCCAGTTTCAACATAAAAATGGAGAAAATTGAGCACAGGCCCATAATGAAGGTTTTGTTCTTGCAAGGCAAGCAACTACATGATATTTTTACGGAGATACAAACGCGTCATATTCTTTCCCCCCCAGGCAACTGATCATTATTACAATAAGCTAGTCTTGACGTTGATCTATGTAATGAATTGTGCGCTGGTCTATGGAATCAAAAGTTGCCAATGCTAGGCTCTACACTGCAACACAACTTTTTGGCGAACAATCAAGATGACACAGGCGTGCATTTGAACGAATCTGTCTTTTTTTTTGTTGCATAATATGCAGGCATTTCAGGCCCCACTTGTTACTTCTCTTTATACATTACTTGCTCCGTACCTATGATTATCTAAACAAAACCTCATGTTTCCTATATATCGAATACTCGGATTCAACGAGATTTAGGTCAGACCCGGCGACCTCATTGAATCTGAGTTTTATTGTACATGTACTATTTAGTGTGAGGTCAGTGCTTTTTTAAGAGAGAGGGCATGGCCACTGGATGAGCTGTGAATTTTGTTTTTTCACATCCTTTTATCAAATAGTAGGTAGCATGTTGCAGTTGGAGTTTGTTATCTTGGCCACTGTAATGGCTACCGGTGACATAAATTCACTGTCTTTCCCAAAAAAATATTAGCCCTTTTGAAAGGGGAATAACATAATCTTGGGCAGTAAGGCTGCTGAGGCAGCTGAAAATATATGTGTTAAAACGCGGTGGAATCAAGCGCTCGTCAATTTTTGGTAATAATATGGAGTTATTGGTATCGTTATAAAGTTTGTTCATTTATCTTGCTTTTGAAGAAAGAAATTCGCATCTATCTAGAATAGAACTCGAGATATTTGCAATCAAAGAAGATGAGAGTAGCCTGTTTTATAAGGCAAAATTTGCGAGAAAATGGCCGTCAAAGTTTGGAAACTTCTATAGCTTGAGAGTCCTTGAAAACTGAAAACATACACATATTTTGTGCCATTAATCAACGTTTTTCAGTAAAATTCATATGGAACAAATGTATTTTTATATGGACATAGAAGGTAGGGTGACCTTATTTAGGCCACATATGGCCTAAATAAGCTAAACCCCCCTCCCTTACCTTATTTAGGCCACACCTGTGGCCTAAATAAGCTAAACCCCCCTCCCTTACCTTATTTAGGCCACACCTTTATACAAAGTCACAGAAATATTCCTTTTGTGCTTATTGAGGTACAGTGCAGGGTGATTTTACCTGCAAGGATAATTGGACAAAATGGGCAACATCTTTATTGCTAATGGTCATATTTAGACAAATCCTATATCATTGTCTTTTTTTTTTCTTAACTGCTCATGGTTATTAAAGAGTAAGCCAACTAGGTAGTGATTTGGGATTCCTATTACTAATATTATGGGCATTCTTAAAATTTTTAAACTTGTTTTTACCGCTTTTCTCAACGTAAAACGGATTCCGTAAAAAACAAAACAACAATGACCTTATCTTTCTTTTTCAAAGTATTGTGCATATATTTGTGTGAAACTATATATTCTATGCTTTCATGCACATGAAAAAAGCTAATAAAGGCAAGCAAAATGTTCTTCAGATACATAGATCTAGTAGTAGGCCCACTGGAATTTTTTTATAAACCGGGAAAGATGACCAGAAAATAACAAAATTATTTATGATCTTCACTTGCACTTGCAATTTTTTTGACAAATTATAGTCTACCTCATTGTCTTTTTTCCCCTGCATTTTTCTTCACTATTCATGACAACTGGCATGTATTGTTTTCAGTTATTATCAAAAAAGTGGATAGGCGGACTACGGGGTCTATCTAGCCAAAAGGATAGGTGGACCCCGGGGTCTACCTAACAAAATGCTAGGTTTTAGGATGTGAACCCCGGAGTCAGCGTAGTGAAATAAGTAGTAGATCTAGGTTTAACTAAGGATCGGTGGACCCCGGGGTCAACATAGTGAAATAAGTAGATCTCAGTTTATTTTATAGTAGGACTGGCGGAGCCCGTGGTCAACGTAGCGAAATTATAAGTAGATATAGGTTTAATTAAGGATTGGTGGACCCCGGGGTCAACGTAGTGAAATCAGTAGATCTAGGTTTAATTAAGGATTGGTGGACCCTGGGGTCAATGTAGTGAAATAAGTACATGTAGATCTAGGTTTAATTTTAAGGATTGGTTGACCCTGGAGTCAACATATTGAAATAAGTAGGTTTAAGGTGGACCCCAGGGTCTACCTAACGAAATACTAGTTAGGTTTTTAGAATAGGTGGAACCTGCGGTCACCGTAGTAAAATAAGTAGGTTTAATCAAGGTGTCCTGGGGGTCCACCAATCCTTTATTAAACCTTCTTATTCCTCTACAGCTATGGTGACTCCGGGGTCCACCAATCCTTTTAAAATTAACCTTACTTATTTCACTACGCTGACCCCGGGGTCCACCAATCTTTAAAGAAACCTACTTGTTTCACTACGGTGACCCCGGGGTCCACCTGTCCTAAAACCTAGTATTTCGCTAGGTAGACCCCGGGGTCCACCTTAAACCTGCTTATTTATCACTACGTTGACCCCGGGGTCCACCAATCCTTACTTAAACCAAACCTGATTTCACTACGGTGACTCCGGGGTTCACATCCTAAAACCTAGTATTTCGCTCTGCAGACCTCAGAGTCCACCTATCCTCTACAGGACTAAACTATTATCAATTTGCAATTTTCATTGATCAGCATATTTT